CTTGATCTCCCGGACTCAAGCAATCTTCCCGCCTTGGCCTCCCAAAGTGCTGGGATTACAGACATGAGCTACTGGGCCTGGCAGTTCAGTTTCAGAGGGGCAAGCGAAGGCTTCTGGAAAGTTAGGGTGAAGACAAGGTGGGTGGCTATTGGGGCTAAGAACAGGAAGGACAGAGAGGAGACTAGGGTGGAGTCAGGACATGTTTGAAGAGTGGTAAGATAACGGGGGTGGCACAAGCACGTGACCTAGGGATAGCCAGGGATCAGGAAGAGTGGCGGGAACTTAAGAGAAATGGCAGTTGGGGCCAGATGATGGTGGTCTGTGACTTTCAGGCTAAAAGCTTGGCATTTTCTCAACTCCATCATTGCAAAAGGAGCCCTAGACCATGGAGAGAGGTGGTTAAAGTTCTTTTGGGCCAGGCGCGGTAGCTCAAGCCTGTAATCCCAGCACTTTGGGAGGCTGGGGCAAGAGGACTGCCTGAGCCCAGGGGTTTGAGACCAGCCTGGGCAACTTATTGAGACCTCGTCTCTATGATAAATAAAAAATTAGCCTGGTGTGGTGGTGTACGCCCGTAGTTCCGGCTACTTGGAAGTCTGAGGCAAAAGGATGGCTGGGGCCCAGCAGGTTGATGCTGGGGTGACCATGGGTATGCCACTGCACTCCAGCAGGCAACAGAGTGAGACTCTGACTCAAAAACAAAGGTCTTTGGGGAGGTGACAAAAAGGGGAGGCCAACTCACTGGGAAGAAATGTCTGGGAACCCTGCCTGACCCTCTGTCCCAATAAAGGTTACCCACATGAGAACAGACGGTATGTGTTGAGATCTCTCTCCATTCTCTCTCTCTTTCCACCTCTCCCTGCCCGGGCCCCCAGTTTAGCTTCTCCTGGGTTTGCTTCTCTTTCTTGCCATATTTGGCATTCCATATAAGATTGTGTCTGAAAAAGGTGTCCCATTATTATTATTATTATTTGCAGATTTGTAATGCACTGATGAAGGCAATAGAGGGCTTTCCAAGTTCTGAGTGGAGACTGGTGTGATCACAGGCACGTTTTAGGAAGATCAGTCCAAGCACTGACGTGATGAAGATGCCAACTTTAGACCTGAGCCTCCTTCTCACGACAGGCAAATTGTGAATAACAACAGTTCACTTGGATGGATGTTGCGAGGGTATAAGATACACATTTGAAGTCCCAGCACAGAACTTTGCTCAAAAGTGGCACCTATTTTTAAAATTGTTACTGTTAATGAATTAACTTTTTGAGACAGGGTCTCCCTCAAGCTGGAGTACCGTGATGCCATCATAGTGCACTGCAGCCTCAAACTCCTGGGCTCAAAGGATCCTCCTGCCTCAGGCTTCTGAGTAGTTGGGACTAACAGGTATGTACCACACCATACCTGGCTAATAATTTTTAAAATTGTTTGTAGAGATGGGATCCTACTATGTTGTCCTTGTTTTTTTATGCTCGTGTTTTCTCTGTTTTCTAGTTCAAATGTTGGCTTTCCAGCTCTGCCCTTGATGGGGCTCATGAGCACATTCCCTGCCTTTCCTGGTATCTGAAGACTGTCTTTCAGAGCTGGGCGCGGTGGCTCATGCCTATAATCCCAGCACTTTGGGAGGAAAAGGCCAGAGAGTTGTCTGAGCCCACAGGTTCAAGACCCACCTGGGCACCTAGGCTAGACTTCATCTCTACAATGCATCAAAAAATCAGCAGGTCATGGTGGCGCATGCCTATAGTTCCAACTACTTAGAAGGCTGAAGCGGGACGATTGCCTGAGCCCAGCAGGTTGAGGCTGCAGTAGCTGTGAGCATGCCACTGCACTCCAGCATGGGTAACAGAGTGAGATTCCAACTCAAAAAAAAAAAAAGACAGTCTTTTGGCAGTGTAAGACAGTGTGAGCCTCTGCTAAATAAAGGAGAGGAGGCCAGGCAATAGCTCATACGGTGTGATAATGAATAAGCTATAATATATAGGAATCAGAGTCTCACTGATCCTTCCGCCTCAGCTTTCCAAGTAGCCGGAACTACAGGCACATGCCTCCATGAACAGCTAATTTTTTGATGTATTGTAGAGATGAGGTCTTGCCAAGTTGCCCAGGCTGGTCTTGAACCAGTGGGCCCAGGCAATCCCCTCACCTTGGCCTCCCAAAGTGCTGGGATTATAGGTGTGAGCCACCGTGCCTGGCCTAGCTGTAGTGATATTAATGGGACTGACTGGCATGTCCCTCTTTTTCTTTCCACTGTATCCTGTCATACCAGGACCAACTTATAGAGAAATGGGACAGTAACTGCAGACAGGGTTTAAGGCCGTGTGATGTGGTACAGACAAATTGGGTTGATACCTAAAGGTTGGACAGCCAGGGTTGGCTCAGCCTCTGACTTGCAATGTCCTTGGGCAAGTCAATTACTCTTTTTGGTCCTTGGTGTCCACATCGTTAGACTGAGGACATTCTCTAACTCTTCCCTCTGGTTCTGCTGTGGGCAGGAGGTATGGGGCCTGAGATTTCTTGCAGGCCTGCTGGGTTCTTCCTGTTTCCATCCTTGTTTCCTCTTCTTTAATTTTACTTTTTTATTTTTTGAGACAGGGTCCTGCTCTATTGCCCAGGCTGGAGTACACGGGTGAGACCACAGCTCACTGTAACCTCAAACTCTGGGGCTCAAGTGATCCTCCTGCCACGGCTTCCCAAGTAGCTGGGACTACAGGCATGTGGCACCATGCTCGGCTAATTTTTTTTTTTGAGTTGGAGTCTCACTCTGTCGGCCAGACTGGAGTGCAGTGGCTGCTCCCGGCCACCGCAGCCTCAACCCGCTGGGCTCCGGCGATCCTTCTGCCTCAGCCTTCTGAGTAGCTGGAACTACAGGTGCGTGCTAACCATGCCCGGCTAATTTTTTGATGTATTGTA